GAAAATGTGAATTTACGCCATCTGCTGGACAGTTTGATACATTACATTGAAAATGTGAATTTACGCCATCTGCTGGACAGTTTGATACATTACATGTCGTTTAAAATGTGAGTTCACCTGAACCTGATACTGGCCACGCCCCATTGATTGGATGCGAGACTCCGGTTCCTTTCACAGATTTATTTTATTTACACCACATCAGCTCCGTAGAACCAAATGTTCAAGAAGACAAAATAAAAGACAACATCAGTTATTGCAATCATTACAGAAATAGCATTGCTTAGCATTGTAGCTAGTACCAATAAATAATACTGACCACTTGAGCCCTTCTCAACCAACAGAGTCATTCCCCAGAGAAAATCTTCAACGTACACTTCAACATTCGCACAGTTGCAGAAAAACCACGAGGCGCAGAAACAAAGAGAAAAACTAACTCGCAGGTGACGTCACGGAGCTAACCGGCGCTACTTCCTGTTTTACTCGTTTCAAAATAAAAACATGTATTTCAAAATAAATTCAAACTGCTGCATTTACACTGGCATTAAAACAACATTCATACACATATTAGAAAGAATCACAGGCAGAAATTGCACCGAGCAGGTCTGAAGGATTTTAAACTAAACCTAACAATATAAAATGTGTCCTTGTGATGCACAGCAGCAGACGAAGCCTTGTAGTAGCCATCTCACAAATCTGACTCTAACAATGACATAATACGATGACTGATTTATTGTTTACTGTTAGAATGTATTCAAATATAAAAGACAGTTATAATTACAGCGTTTCCTTGGTTATATTCCACCAGTGAGTGAATGACTTCACAGTTGGCCTCTTGGCAGCTGACTGTGACTTCTCGTCACATTTCATTAGAAGCCAGGTGATGAATTTGGGAACGTTGTTCTGGACTGTGGGACGTCAGAATCAGCTTGCAGCACATCGCTCTGCTCAAAGAAAGACCTCCTTGTGCCTTTGTCAGAACCTGGAGAAACAAATATGGAGCATATTAGGGTGCATCGCATTTTAAAACTCTTCATAAATATTCTGAATGAGCAGCATCGACATTCTGTGAACTGCTTGGTAAAAACTTCCTGAGTTTACATAACACGCCAGGAATAGAGTTTACGTGAGTGTGATTGTTAACATTAGCACAGGAAATGAGGAAATAGGAAATTAAATCATATTGTTGGCATTTTGATTTCCTCTGACAGGAAAAATAAAGCTTGTCGGTATCACGCCACTTGTTTCCTCACAAGGTCCAGGGAGGAATCTGAAGGCCTGAGGTGAATCTGTCCTCAAGTGGGTGCAGCAGTGGAGTTAAAGCCTTCTGAGGTAGCAGGCGGCCGTGGGCCTAAAGTGGCCCAAGTGGCTCAAAACAAATCTGGGCCACCTTTGGCCCCTTTGGTTGAAATGCTGTGGCGTACTTGTGGCCCAGATCTGGCAAACAGGAGCAGACCACCTGAGTGTACGATATCTTCCTCTCTTCCATTTCACTAGATATATTTGATAAGATCCTCTGTTATTGCTCATCTAAAGAAGTTCATCAACGCAGACGGCCACACACAACAATGTGTTTCCTGCAGCCGGCCACTGCAGAAGCCCATTGAGTCTCCTCTGACAGACTTCACAATGAGATTACAGGATTACAGTCGGTGTGGACATGTGTTCCCTGCTCTTAATTTGATTAAAACTCCCACCTCACTGCCTGTTACTGCTCATCTGACTGTGTGTGGAGGAATCAGGAGCTTTGTGTGATATTACCTCATAGAAATAACAATAATGTGACTTTCTGTGGGTCGTTAACATCTCACAAAACATTATGTCAGCAGGGGAGTTTACTTCGGATTAACTTGAAATGTAAAAGCCAGGAAATCCTTCTCTGAATCAAAGCCTTCGATAAATAACTTCCTACTAGCTTCTAAAAATAGAACAGAGTGAAGTCCCTGTGTCAGTAACAGGAGACTTAGTCATTAACATATAAAGAATATTTTTTTATATGACTGAATAATAGGATATTTATAAAAAACAGCTGTATCAATAAATAAAGATATAAATACTTTGGGTTTTCTGTCAAAATGATATCTTTATCATTAAAAACATCATAATACCATGATTGAAATACACCAATGAATACTCCAGCATAAAGTTACTCTCATGAATGAAGCTGGAAATTTGCGAGAATATTTACAACAGTCGTGTCTGTTAATTATATGTATGAATTAATGTAAACCCTCCTCCCTCAGAGAGGCGTGAGGAGAGGTGGTTTCATTCAGCTGTGACACAACAAGGTGGAAAGATAAATGGTGACAAGTAGCAGCAAGAGAGTGTGATTTTCCACCGGAGCCAAAAAGTGAACGGTCAAAATGTGGCTGCATTATTTTCAGACTATTCTCAATAACATCAGAGGACATTTTCAAAACTCAGATCATTTACCTCGAGACACCGCCTCCTTTACTTTTGGTTCTTTTATTAGAAACACAGACTTGAAGAGTTTGCATCGCACCATCGCTCACAGAGAATCTAAAGAAGCTGCACAGTTTGATGGTTTTGCAGCTAATCAGCAATAATTCATCCCACAGAGGACGAGGATGTGGATTAGAGGCCTTTTCCACAAATTGTCTGGAAAAGTCATCTCATGTAACATCCATGCTCTGCCACACGGGTTACCATGTTCATGCCCTTGTAGACACCCCCCCTCCTCCACCCCCACCCCCGTACACACAGCACACACAAACACAGACATGCAAAGTGCGATCACATGACTGGGCAGGGCCTGTAGGTGTGGTGGCTAAACTGGGATTTCAAGGCAAAGAGGAGCTCCTTCTCCCTCGACCTCTGTCCTCCAATAACAACAGAAGAGAAAGCTGAAGGAGAAGGGGGACGATGTCAAGACACAGGTAAGTGCAGAATACAGAAGACGGACACTGTCTGTGCACGATGAATCGTCTGTGAATCTGTGGCTTGGGGAGGAGCAGTCTTTTAAAAGCACTAATCCTTCTTACTTGAGCAACAGTGTAAGCTTATGTAGAACTCGAGTATTATGAACAACATGGTGCTGGAACAACAGACAGGCTGGATGGATCTTGACCTGTTTGTCTGTGGATTGAGATGATGTTTGTCACAGCATTGAGCCAATAGATGTGAACTAT